TTGTATCATCTCATAAAAAACGATTTCTTCCACTTGTGGGATAAATATTGTATGCCACTCGTGTGTTATGTTTGTTAAGTCACTTGAGAATTTATACGACTCGGCCTGACGGCCTCGTGGTATAAATCTTTCTCGCGTGACTTATTTTCAAAATAACACACTAGTACCATAAATAACTATAAGGTCATCAATGGTACTTTATAAACAACAATTTTCAAACAAAATTTTGCCATACTTTTAATGATTTATTCTTTTACTTTTAGTGGTTCCCATCCTTCACTAAAGATCATTTTGAATAGAACAGTTCCTATACTCGAATTCCTAGCCAACAAACACAATTATTTAATTCTTATTAGATCGTTACTATAGCCCTTAAACTTCAATAGGACAACAATTCAAAATTCTACTCAAAATCCAATATTGTTAAGAGCATTATAATTTTTGCCTTTAAATTCTTTGCAAAATTAATTAAAATGTCATTATATTCGAAGGCAATTGAAGTTATGCAATAAAGTTCATATCACTTAAGTTTTTATGCATTAAAGTTCAATGTCAATTCACTTTTTATCATTCCGTTCATTGATAAAAGTCAGAAAAAACAATACTGGTCACTAGAGTACTTACATTTAAATTTTCACTCGTTAAAATACTTGATTAATTTACTTTAAAAATCTCTAGAGCTCGCACATAATGTTGAACGACTTTAAATGTTCTTTCTTTCACAATTTTCCATACTTTTTCAAAGATTCAATCAGCCGTATGAATGAAAATAGAGCATTTGCTTCTTAGCAAAAGGTAGAAGTATAAGCAAAAGCTTCAAGTAAAAGGTAGAAGTAGAAGCATTTACTTCATAGCATATGAATAAAGAAGACCTTTCACTTGCGAGCATATGCTTCAAAGAAATGAAGTAAAGGATACTCAGCCATATGAATAAAGTGTACCTGTTGCACCTGTTGCTTGAATCTAAGGGGTCAATGCTGTGCACATCTGTAAGCAAATCTATAAATTTCTATAAGCCTATAGTCACTGCAAAACGCATCGATTGCTAAACACTCAATCGGAAATATTTACGATCCTATATTATATTCGATAATTTACAAGAAGTGCAGAATTACAGATTGTCTTTAGGCAGCTCTAGGCTTATAGAAATTTATAGAATTGCTTACAGATGTGCACAGAATTGACCCATAAGGCTCGAATGCCAAAGTAAATTACCAGATAAATAACATCAATGGACTTTGACATTCCATAGGAAATGGTTGCGAAAGAACGCCGATCATGGAAGAACGCAAAGTTACCACAAGCGGACAACGTATCATTGTGGTACACAGTCATACAGATGGTTCAAAGCTAACGGAATGAGTCGGTCTGGGAATAACTGGACCCAATTTCAAAGTTTAAACTCTCATTAGCAATGGGTAAAACGGCCACAAAATTTCAAACTGAGGTTTCGGCTTAAACATCTGTGCCCAAGATTGTCTTAAAAGAGGCCTTTTAGGAAAATACATACTGTCCGACAGTCAAGCGCCTCTAAAGACTCTGGAAGCAATCAAGTGCAATTTTCTGTCTGGGAGGGTATAAATTTCCTAGTCTGGGAGGGTATAAATATCCTTAAATAACTGGCAGTTAGGAATGAAGTAAAGAGAGCAACGAGGAGGCGGATCGTTTCACGAAGCAAGGCGTTTTAACACCTTTTCAAGGCCCAGAGCCTTTTTGTGTGCTAATGAAAAGCCACGTCTCCAAAGAAATCGACAGATGAAGAAGGTTCATATCTGAGATCTGAACAACTTTTTGACGATGAACAGAAGAGACATTAGAAGAGTCATTATTGGTCGACTGCTCACTGGGCATTGCTTGGTAAAAACAATAGGCAAATCAGACAACGATTTCTGCAAATCTTGCAAACAAGCAACAGAAACTACAGAGCACAATCTGTGAATTCCCTGGTCACTTCTGCAAAAGGCTGAAATACCTTGCGAACACCCCAAGAGGTGGGCACTTTACCACCCAGGAAGCTGGCTTCCTTTGGGAGCAGCCTACAAATCTTGGACACTTGAGCGGCTGTAACGACTCCTAATGCAATCTACAATCTACAAAAAAATGGGAAATAAGAATATTCGAAAATAATTTACCAAAATAGTAAACATACATCTGGTCTGGAGCAGATGCATTTTGCAAGGAATAAATGGTTTCAATTTGAAGCAAATACCTTCTCTTTTTTATTCATAAGAAAAAGAGTATTTGCTTTTTCCTGGAGCATTTGCTTCCGACTTTCAAGTATAGGATTTTGCTTGAACTTTTATTCATACTGGATGAAGCATTTGCTTCAGATTTTGCGAAAAAAAGCAAATGCTCTTTTTTATTCATAGGGTAGAATGAAACTCGTTTTCCCGAGGCAATAAAATAAAAGAAACTCTTCGCGAATTTTATCCAGACTGACTCATTAGGTACTGTAGATTTAACTCAAACTGGACTGAACTGACAACTGGATTGATCTTCTAAAACTGCTGTTTTTATATTATTCGATCCCCTCAAAATTCCTATCCATCATTCATTAACCTTCCTCATTTATTTGTTTAAAACCGAATAATTAAGTCGCAATTTTCTGGTTTATCGGGGTCAACAGATTTCTTATAAGAATCTATATATATATATATATATATATATATATATATATATATATATATATATATATATATATATATATATATATATATATATATATATATATATATATATATATATATATATATATATACGACGTCACATCGAATGTGTATCAGTTCATTCAATGGAACATAGCGTTGTATACCTAACCTAACTTTACAATGACATATGTCTTAAGTCATTAATTCAACAGGTGATCTTGACGGCCAGCTGTTTCTGGTTGACATTTAAATTTAAAAGAAAATTATTTTTTAATATAATAATTCCAAATTACACATTTGATGGATGATCCTCAAACCCAGGGTGATATATTGTAAAGGTCTCTCTCTGTAACTATTTAATATTTTAATATGTTGTATTGTCCCATTTACACAATCTCTCATCCTTTCTCAATAATTTTTTAACAAGCTTATTATGTATTAATGACTAATAATTAAGTTCTCACTGTCCTCGATGCTGATGGAACAGATCAATTACACAACATTTATCTTTAATAATCTCACCAAAGATGTAAGTTACATTATAGTATTGTCTTATTGTCTTTAACTTGTATATTGATCCATAGTTTCCCTGAAGATGATAATAAACATTATCGAAAGCTCGGATAAACTTTAAAGAGTACACTTTATTTTGCTGCATTCCCCAAATCGATTCCCAAAATTGTCTTCGTACTTGTCAGCAACAACATCCATTCTTCTTATATATATATATATATATATATATATATATATATATGTAATTTTGATATGATGCCGAAACGCATAGTGGAATGTGTGAGCAGTGCTCAAATCATTAGTGGAATGTTCATACTCATTAGGCATAAGTGCAACTACAGAAGTGTTGAATCACGTAGTAGAATGTCAGGACGGTGCCCAAAACGAGAATGCAATGCGGTATGATTATTTTTGCGCTACTCTGAAGCAAATGCTATATTTAAAACAGAAGAGTTTTTGGTTAGTTAGTCAGTTCTACCAGCAGGTACTGAGGTCCCTGGTCACGGAAAACTACTCAGCCATAGTTGTTATTTTGAGCCAATCAGGCCTATGATGTATCATTTTCTGTTATTTTAACAGCAAGGGTAAGTTATCTGTTACTGTTTGTTCTACACCTAAAAATAGAAACAGGTATAGATTTTGAGCTGTGATACAACTATTAAAATGACAGGAGAGGATACATCATAGGCCTGAACATCTCTAGATTGATTTTTTATTTGTTTGCTAGGATATTCGCTCGTCAGGGTAGAAAAATGTTAGTAGATTCGACAAGGCCCTAATGCATGTTCTGAATACCAATAAACATATACATTTTTAAAAATGTTGACAGAATGATTGAGAATTGTCATTTTTACTAATTCTGCCAACATTTTTAAAATTTATATGTTTCTCCAAATTTGTAAAAACCAGATCATGCATTAGAACTCATCTTCTACTTATAACTGAAGAAGCTATAAAATTATAGCGAAAGCTTTCATGTAGAAAAAAGAGGTTTTCTTTTAATTTAGCCGCATCCTTACAAGAAACTTCCAACAATTATATTTCGAGCCACATAATCATTTTCCTTATATCATAATATTCTATTATTTGAAGTATTAGTAATACTTATGTGACGCACATGCAAGTTTGAATCAAATTTGAATCAAGTTTGAATCAAATCCCTGCAAGTCACACGAAGGATACTTATGGCCGTTTCCACCAACTATTTTATGGGAGCCCTAACGATAAGTATTCCCTAAAATGACATTTTTACATGGAGAAATGTCAGTTTAGGGAATACTTATCGTTAAGGCTCCCCTAAAATAGTTGGTGGAAACGGCCATTATACTCCGAATGAAATACAATATTTAATTTTCAAACGATCTTTATTCCAAAAAGTGCACAATTTTTAATTTAAATTAAGACATTCATATTTAGAAGGATAACTTTTATAAGCATCTTTACCTGTATGTACAGGTGAACTACCTGAAATCGCTATGGGAAAATATGTAACGGCGTATAAATGTTATACTCTGCCGGAGTATAACATTTATACGCCGCTCAAGCTGAAAGTCATTGACGTGACTCTTATACCTTGTCAAAATGATCACAAAAATACCTGTAATATGACGTTTGAAAATAAAATAACATTTATTTAACTGACCTGTGAATGCTTCTTATGATACACAAACTAATCACAAATTGGATTGAACACTCAGTTTAATACAAAATAAAAATTGAATAATGAACAATGGCAGACTAAGGCTGCGCCAGTCTCGGTCTCGGCCACGTCTGGTAGTTTCGGTCTATTAGTAACAAAATGAATTCAATATTGTAATGAGTCTTTCTTTATTATTTCAGGAACGTGTATACGAGGAAACTGTGGTAGCAAGTCCTGAGGTAACCAGCCTCATACCCACAATTTTGACACCGTGCAGTTCGAATTGTGAAGCAGTAACACCGGAAATGGAACGATCGCCATCGGTCACGCCGCTTCACAAAGTGGACATTGAATAAAACTATAAAATTTGTGATCAAACATTTTCTGTTGTTTTATCGGTGAGTGGAGCCATTGCAAAACGAAACATAAATAAATTGAAACAAAATAGTCACCTCACAGTCAAGATAATTTGCAGGTTATTGATTGATTCATGGTTTGTATATAATAAAGTATTGTCAAATTAAGGTGACTGACAATAACAAACTAATGTTTATTAAATACCTAGTTGAATTTAATGGGGAGAGGAGGAAAGTTGGATACACAGGGCATTGAAATAAATCCAATTCATGTTCTGTATCTATGTTCAATCAAGTTGTTTTAGATAAGTGAGGTATACCTATCTATGCATATTTTTTTCAAATCGAATGAGGCAAAATAAAATGGCAAGTACTGAAATGGTTAGTTTTCAATGCCCCTGTACTGCATACTAAAATGACATTTCTAAATTCTTGAAGAAGCCATTAATTAGGTACCTACTCAAAATGAGATAATAAGTCATGTTTTTTTTTTCTGATTTATTAAAAATTAATTGGAAAAAGAAAGTTTTTTTCTGTTAAGTGAATTTGCAATATAATGAAATAATTAGGTTATGTTTATAGCTTTGTTCCAACACAGTGGGAAACCGTTCGATCGTCACGATTCTGCGCAAAGCCTAAAACTTGTGCGTAAAATCAGAAATGCGTTTACAGAGTGATTTCCAAACTGTTCATGGGACGGTTCTTGACGTGCTGGAACAGACCTCATATGTTTGTTCAAATTATAAAACAATACGCCTTATTTTTGGATAAATGTGCTAAAGTCGAATCAATAAAATAAAATATTCCTGTTAAAATTGTAATAAATGAAAATTATCACTATGTAATAACTATTTACGTTAATTTTGACTATGTTGTAGATATAGAACATATCTTGTTACAAAAAATACATTTTAAAAATCTAATTATTGATGTTTTGTACAATCTCGCAGACAAAACGCGGAATTAGGCATTTCCCAAAATTCTCAGGTATTCTATAAGAAGCCGGCAAGGTGTTAGCGTACAAAACAAATTTCATTACCATCATTCACTAATTCAGGCAAAGCAAAGTGTTAAAATTCTGGCAAAACGCGAGCAGAAAAATCTATACTCTGGTATTACAATTAGACATGTATGGTATTTTTAATACCCATTTAGAATAACCCCATCCCTATTTATCAATCACTAATCAGATGCAACAAAAAATTACCAACAAAAACGAACCTCGATTGCTAACAGGTCAATTTCATGTATAAATGGGAAATTCCTAACCTAATTTTATTTGTGTGTTTAAGAAGCGACATACGTTAATTCACTAGAACTACTGGTACTTCCAAATAAGTATTAAAAATACAATAGGTACTAAAGCATTTCAATAACATATACCTTGAATCCACTCAACTAAATACTAAGATCGAGAATAGGGTAGTAGGTAGCTAGTTTCAATACCCACTCATCCGATCTTAGAAGTCATACAGTGAAACAAAAATCAGTAAATACCAAAACATTTTAGAAACAAAATGCTACCGGTAAAAAACTTGAATAAAATGAAGTTTTATCAACATAAACCAAAAATCATCAATGTAGGCATACCTACAGGCAATCCGAGAGAGATCGCACTAAGAGAGCTCTGAAACAAATGAAAATAGATAAGCCTTCCATATACATAAATGTTGAAAATGCAAGGAGCCATAGTATAAAATGTCCCTAGTTCAGTGTAGTATCATCAGTAGAACAAGCAGGATTAATTTGAGAAAGGATTCGATAAAATCTATCTAGTAGGCAGTACACCTACAACCAACCCAACCAACCAAGCAGACTACTATTGAAGGTTTCTATCCCGGCACCGTTTTAAGCAACATAGATTTTATTGATTTGTTTCTATTGTCGCAGAGTACTTGAACGTTGAACCTTGAACCTTCACATACTTTAAAGAAAAAAAAAAAAAAGAGGAAGAAAAGTAAATAAAAATTGACAAAAAAGAGTTTGAAATGTTGTTTATAGCTGAGGGACAAAAATAAGTAGTTCATGGTTAGATGTGATCGAAAGAAAAGCTTATCCAGCACCAGAATATCAAAATATTGCCCCATGGACGATAACCACTTCATGATTGACATAGGAGTTATCGATTGCTGTCTTCATAATAATTGACAAATCATCTTCGGCTGTGATCATACGTCTTATTCCCCTAAAAGCAAGTATTTTTGTGAGTTGCGATATGAGCCGTTCTTTAACTTCTATACCAATTCACTCGAATTCCTTTTGGAGTGACTAATGACTCAAGCCAGAAAGAGTGGATATAGACATCAACTCCAGCAATGCCGCTCATCAACGCTACTTCTTTTTTTATTAACTTATAAGTTTATACATTACAACACTTCCGATTCACATTCCTATTAAAACTACCCTTCACCTATATCTATAAATTCTTAAAACTCCTGACAGCTTATGCAAAATAATTATTTAAATCATAATCCGACTCACTGGATTAAGTATATATGTATTACCAACTATATTTTTATAAAAACCTTACAATAATTACTGAATGAAAAACCCTAATTCAAAACTTCAGCACTTAAGGTCATCAAAGTTACTTTATGAATAACAATTTTCAAACAAAACTTTCCAATACCTACATTTAGTGGTTCCATCCTTAACTAAGAATCATTTTGAACAGAACAATTACTATTTTCGGATTCCTAGCCAACAAACTCAATTATTTAAATTCTTATTAGTTAGTTACTAGCCCTCAAACTCCAATTGGACAATTCAATTCAAAATTCTTTAATAATTCATACTCAAAATCGATAATTGTTAAGAGCATTATAATTTTCCCTTTCAAATCCTTTGCAAAATTAATTAAAATGTCATTTTAAAGTTATGAAATAAAGTTTTACAGTCAAATCACTCAAGTTTTTATGCATTAAAGTTCCAAAGTTAATTCACTTCATAGTCATTCATCATTTATAAAGTCAAAAAGTTTTACTAGTTACTAGTAGTACTTTCCACTCGTAAAATTACTTAATTAATTTACTTTAAAAACCTCTAGAGATAGATAGATATATTAATATTGGGGTGTTGTTGCACTGCGACCTAAAGATCTATTGTGCTCCCTGCTGAGGCCGATTTGATGTGGATCTCAAATCATAGTACTTCGTCCAGTCCTATGGCCTTGATGAGGGCTAGTAACTGGTACGATGTCAAGGATGGTATGTTTCCTTCTAAAACTACATAGTCACCGAGATGTGTAGCCCGGCTTCTAGCGATGGCTTCGCATACGGTTAGCAGGTATTCTCGAGTTTCTTCCTCCGCCCCGCAAAACCTGCATTCACTAGATCTCTCGAGTAGCATTTTCCTGCAGTGTTCTCGAAGGTGGCAGTGCCCTGTCATAAACCCTGTAAGAATTCTTAGTTTAGTTTTACTTAAATTTACTAGACCTTTAGATTTTTTGGGATTGAAGTTTCCAAGGAATATCTTAGAGTGTCTCAGTACCGGAAGGTCGTCCCAGAGGCGAGCTCTTAGGTCGTATTTCATTTTCTTAAGCTCCGCTGTATAAGTGTTTTCACCTATACCGCAAAAAGGCTCCGGTCCTACAAACGGGGAACCGGATCCTTTATTTGCCAAGGTATTGGCTTCTTCGTTACCTTCTACTCCTGCGTGTCCAGGCACCCATAGTAAAGTGACTTTATTTTTCTTTCCTACCTCATTTAGTTTCCCTAGGCAATCCCGTACTATCTTAGAACTGATGACATATGAACTCAGTGCCATTATGGCCGATTGACTGTCGGTGAATATTGCAATATCTTGCTTGAAATAGTTCCTGTTCTGGATCATTTGAGCACATCTGTCAATGGCGTGTATTTCCGCCTGAAAGACACTGGTGTATTTACCCAGTGACTCAAAATATTTGGTGCGAGGCCCAAATACTCCAGCTCCTGATCCTTTGTCGGTTTTCGAACCGTCTGTGTACCATTTAATGGTGTTTTCTTTGAGAGATTCGGTGATCTTGCCGCTTTCCCAGTCGCTTTTATTATCAATCCTTGTGAAGAAGTTTCTCTCAAAGTGATATTCTTTGGTTATATCCTCTTTAGGAGGAAGGGAATACACCGTGTCTGGGATGACCATGCTCCTGGATCGATAATGTCCTTAGCCTCGGTGCTATTCCTAGCTAGTCTAAAGATAGCCCTTTCTGCAGCTCCCTCCACCGACAAGTGCAAAGGTGTGAGGTCACGTATGACGTTCAACGCTACTGTTGGACATGTTCTCATGGCTCCTGTGATACATACACTTGCCAGTCTTTGCAATTTATCAAGTGCTCGCCTTGTAGTGCTTTGTTCTGCTATGCCATACCAAACTGCTGCCCCATATGTGATTATGGGTTTTACCATCATAATGTACATCCACCGCAGTATTTTTGGTGTACATCCCCAGTTTTTACCCGCCAAGTTTCTGCACACCATAATGGCTTTAGTAGCTTTGTTAACAATGGCTTCTAGATGTTTTTTCCATAGAAGTTTACTATCCAGTGTTATGCCCAGATATTTGACTTCGTTTGCTTGATTTACAACCTCTCCACTTAGGTGAATTTCCCTAGTAAGTTGAATTTTCCTTCTAAGTGTAAATGGTACAATAGTGGTTTTTGCTGAGTTGATGCTCAGCCCCACCGATGTGCACCATTCTTCGGTAGTACTTAGGCCTTTTTGTATGAGGTCGTATAGTGTGCCCTCAAACTTGCCTTTGGCAATAATGACAATATCATCGGCGTAACCTATACAAGTTAGACCCTGATTTGTCAGTCTGGACAGGAGTTCATCAACTGCCAGGCTCCACAACAGGGGTGAGGTTACTCCCCCTTGAGGTGTACCACGAGTGGTTCTGATGCTTGTGGTTTGTTCACCTACAGTTGTCTCAGCTGTTCTCGTAGTCAGAATTTCACAGACCCACCGGACCATGGTTTTATTCACTCCTCTCCTCTCCAGAGCAATTTTCACCGCCCCATGGGACGTGTTATCAAAAGCCCGGGATATATCCAGGAAGGCACATATGGCTGTTTCTTTTTCCTTAAGGGTTTTTGGATGATTTCTGTAAGTTGATAGAGCGCTGTCTCTGTCGATCTGCCTGATCTGTATGCATGTTGGCACGAGTGTAGAGGTGCCTTCTCCAAAATTTCCCACTGATGTAGTTATCTACAGCTTTTTCTATCGTCTTTAGTACAAAGGACGTAAGACTAATGGGTCGAAAAGATTTAGGGTTTGTCCCATCCTTTTTACCTATTTTGGGTATGAAGGCTCGTCGCCAGATACTCGGTATATATCCCGAGGCTAAACTAGTCCTAGCTATTCTAAGTAGGTGAGGGAATATTTCCTTTTGCCCTTTTTGTAAAAGGGCAGGAAATATTCCGTCCACTCCTGGTGACTTAAACGGTTGAAAGGTACTTATTGCCCATTCCATCGTTCCGCAGTAAAAACCCTCTTTGCAGCTTCCCAGTCCTCCTTCTTCGGTTTACTGGTGTCGACTACCGTGGTTATTTCTACTGGTACGCTACCTGGAAAGTGCGTTTCCTCTTCTCCTTTCGTGTAGGTTCCGTCCGGCTTTTTGAGGGCCATCACTGGATTTGTTCCTTCTTTGGCCATGGCCTTATGTAGCCTTGCAGCCGTTGGAGTGTCAGCAATTTCCTCACAAAAGGTTCTGAAATGTTGCCTTTTGGCTTTTCTTATCTCTTTGTTATACAGAGTAAGCACTTCTGCGTATCCCTGCCAATTTCCGTCACTTTTTGCTGTATTGAAAAGATGACGCACTTGAAATCTCAGTTTTGACAGGTGCCTGTTCCACCATGGTGCATCTTTTTTGGATCTCTAGAGCTCGCACATAATGTTGAACGAATTTTAATGTTCTTTCATTCACAAATTTTCCGTTACTTTTAAACATTCGATTAAACCCGTTTTCCCGAGGTAACAAAATGAAATAAACTCTTCGCGAATTTTATCTGCACTACTCATTAGGTACTGTAGACTTAAAACTGAACGACTGAACTGACAACTGCTCCTCCACTTCTAAAACCACCTGTATTTATATTATTCGATCCCCCCAAAATTCCTATCCATCATTCAATAACCTTTCTCTTTTATTTTTTTTTTAAATCGAATAATTATGTCGCAATTTCCTGGTTTATCGGGGTCAACAGATTGGGTTGTAAGAATTGGACATATAACTCAAAGAAAACCGACAACACGTACGGCCATAAATCACCTATTTAATTACTTTAGCCTCGCTTTTAATATGTTCATTGATTTGATTTAGGAGATGACATCACGCTTGTTGACTAAATAATGAGAATTATAAATATTTTAATTAATTTGGGGTCAACAATATTTTGTTTGATTTTCAATTTATTGATACTGATTTGAAATACAGGCAATTTAGTTTTTGATTATTTGATTACATTTAATTTTTACAGTAAAGACATTGTAAATTACGGGTCTATTTTCCCGGGTCATTACAACATTATCAAACAAGAACATTTAGAAGATACATATGCATTTCTTGACGACGTAACCATCGGTGGTAAAAATAAAGAGCATCATGATACAAATCTTAGAAATTGTTAAGAAATATAATATGACGCCTAACAAAGAGAAATGCATGACTAAAATTAATATACTAGGGCATACAATAGAAAGAAAATCAATCAAACCAGACATAGACAGACTTAAACCACTGATTCAGTTGCCACTACCTACTTCGCTCAGGAGAGTTCAAAGCATGTTTTCCCATTATTCCAAATTCATATATAAGTTTTCTGAGAAAATACATCCACTGGTTCGAGTTAAAAAGTTTCCATTGTCTGCTTGTGAAGCTGCTGCATTTGAACAGTTGAAGACTGATATACAAAACGCTGTTGGTATTTCCATTGACGATGAAACCACTATTACTGTTGAAACTGACTCATCAGAATATGCTATTGCTGCTCAACTTATATAATCTGGAAAACCAGTGGCGTTTTTCTCTAGAACATTGACGAAATCGGAACAGCGACGTTTTTCCGTAGAAAAAGAAACCTATGCTATAGTGGAAGCACTCCGTAAATGGAGACATTTTCTGATTGGACGTTACTTTAAGCTCGTAACTGACCAGAAATCGGTTGCTGTTATGTTTAATTCACTAAGTAATTCTAAAATTAAAGATTAAAAAATAATGCGGTGCAACGATCATCTTATAAATATGACAGATTTTGAAATCAAAATATCGTAGCAAATACATTTTCAAGAATATCTTTTGCGATTTTACCTTCTTCTAGTGACAAAACATTATATAATCTACATAATTCTCTCTGTCATCCTGGTATAACAAGACTGTATTACTGGGTCCGATGTAAGAGTCTACCTTTCTCACTAGACGATATCAAGAGAATTTCAGCAACCTGTCCCGTTTGTGCTGAGATCAAAACAAGGTTTCATAGAAATCAAGATATCATCATAAAAGCTACTGCCCCTTTCGAAAGAATAAATGTAGATTTTAAAGGTCCATTGCCATCTGAGGACCAAAACCGCTATATTTTACCTATTGTGGATGAAATTTGTAGATTCCCATTTAGCTTTACTTGTCCTGACATGACCTCATCAACTATTATAAATTGTTTAACTCAATTTCTTTTCTGTTTTTGGGACACCATCGTTCCTGCATAGTGATAGAGGGAACATCATTTATGTCTGAAGAACTGAAAACATTCTTAACACGACATGGGATTGCAACTAGTCGCACTACTACTTATAACACACAAGGGAACGATCAGTGTGAACGGTATAATAGTGTTAGATGAAAAATCATTCAGTTAGCTCTAAAAGCAACAAACATAGATATAAGGCATTGACAGCAGGTACTGGTCGACTCTTTACATTCAATATAGTCTTTGTTATGTACAGCAACAAATTGTTCACTGCGTGAAAGAATGTTTTGTTATCCTCGAAGATCTACAAATGATTCTCCAATTTCAACCTGGTTGAGTATTCCTGATCCAGGCTTCCTAAAGAAGCATGTAGGTAAGACAAAGCAAGTATGAACCGATCGTGGAAGAATTGCAATTCCTAGAAGCTAACTCTGATTATGCTCATATCAGATTAGCTTATGGTAAAGAAACAACTGTGTCAACACGCCACTTTGCGCCAAGAGGAGATTCTGCTCTGCATACAGAAACGTCGAATGAAGATATGAATATAGAATGTAGAACATATAGAAACGAACCTAATGATCAAAACAACGACCAATGTAGTGAACCCGTCCAGTAGAGTGTTTTCACAGCTATTAGACCAATACCCACCTCTACCATATAAAAACCCCCCTCCAGCACAGCCATCATACCACTACCACCTCCACTGTGAACCCCCTTCTGTGAAGCTCCTACCCTGAGGAGGCACTTTTTACCCACCTCCACTGTAAACTCTCGTCCGTAAAGCCCTCCATTAATCTATTTTGAAAAGGCTCCTACCCTGAGATGGCACTTTTTTATATCCCTCCACTTTCTTGAAAACTAAAAAATATTTAACCAAATCTTCCATTTGTATTCGTCAATTTTGGGGTTGGCCCGGGTAAAATCCCCAAAATTTCGGATCAAAGGCGCTGCCGATCTAGAGATGTTCCCACAGTATCGTAAAACTTCCCAGGCTCAAGTGCCCCCGGCTATTAGACCAATACCCAACTCTACTACGTGAATGGTCCACCAGATTCACAAGCAAAATTTTATTATTGCAATAAAATTAATCCCATGGAGTTTAGAACGCTTTTGACAAATGGATATGGAAAGAGGTACCTCTTCAGAGTAGAAGCTTTTTGTGGGTGGGTATTGCTCTGATAGCTGTGAGGTAGGTATTGGTCATAAACAGGTGCATTAATTTTATTGCAATAATAACATTTTGCTTTTGAATCTGGTGTACTATTTACGTAGAAGAGGTGGGTATTGGTCCGATAGCCGGGGGCACTTGAGCCTCGGAAGTTTTTGGAAACCGTGGGAAAATCTCTAGATCGGCGGCGCATTTTATCTGAAATTTTGGGTATTTGACTCGGGCCAACCCCAAAATTGATGAATACAAATGTAAGAATTGGTTGAATATTCTTTTGTTTTCAAGAAAGTGGAGGGATATAAAAAAGAGTCACCTCAGGGTAGTAGCCTTATGAAAATAGATTAATGGAGGGCTTTAGAGAAGGGGGTTTACAGTGGAAGTGGGTAAAAAGTGTCTCCTCAGGGTAGACGCTTCACGGAAAGAGGTTTACAATGGAGGTGGGTAGTGGTATGATGGCTGTATAAGCCATAAAATTAATCCCATGGAGTTTAGAACGCTTTTGACAAATGGATATGGAAAGAGGTACCTCTTCAGAGTAGAAGCTTTTTGTGGGTGGGTATTGCTCTGATAGCTGTGAGGTAGGTATTGGTCATAAACAGGTGCATTAATTTTATTGCAATAATAACATTTTGCTTTTGAATCTGGTGTACTATTTACGTAGAAGAGGTGGGTATTGGTCCGATAGCCGGGGGCACTTGAGCCTCGGAAGTTTTTGGAAACCGTGGGAAAATCTCTAGATCGGCGGCGCATTTTATCTGAAATTTTGGGTATTTGACTCGGGCCAACCCCAAAATTGATGAATACAAATGTAAGAATTGGTTGAATATTCTTTTGTTTTCAAGAAAGTGGAGGGATATAAAAAAGAGTCACCTCAGGGTAGTAGCCTTATGAAAATAGATTAATGGAGGGCTTTAGAGAAGGGGGTTTACAGTGGAAGTGGGTAAAAAGTGTCTCCTCAGGGTAGACGCTTCACGGAAAGAGGTTTACAATGGAGGTGGGTAGTGGTATGATGGCTGTGCTAGAGAGGGGTTTTTACGTGGTAGAGGCTGGTATTGGTCTGATAGCTGTGAAAACACTCTACTCAGATCCCATTCAACAACTCAATTACAACGATTCTGATTCTGGAAATCTTGATTGGATACCTGTAACACCATTAAGGAATCTAGGCGATGAAGTTGTAGAAAATATAACTGACTATTCCTTGAACCGACCAAAACGTCAAAAGGAGCCTCCTGTCTTTTTGAAAGATTATGAAACCGACTAGGGATGAATGTTATATATTTAGAAACTTTTAAAATGTTCTGTATTTTATATTTTGTTACCTTTATTATTTGTCAACCTTGACAGTCTGTCAGTGTTAGTTATATGCTCTGTATAGTAATATTCTGAGTTTATTAAAGCCTGTATTCTAGAGGTTCTCTTTCACTTCATTGGCGATGTTCCTGAGAATGTTCTTTTTGGGAAAATAAGGGCGCGCTGATTCTTTAACTATTTATCGGACACACTTGCTCCATAATATTTTTTACAAGGCACTCTAAACATTTTCAATCACGCCTACTTGAGGCCAACACGACATGTTGAATTAGGTTATCTCTGTCAATAATTAACTCACAATTTGCAGAAATCCTCCAACTTTTATAATCTGATACTCCAAAGAAATGTGAGTTGGTGGCTCGCTACGTTAGCACGCCAATGATCACCTAACCTCACACCTGTTTTTGCTGTATTCTTCCTTCCTTCGATCCTTATACGGAAAGTGCCAAATTAAAAAAGCTAAACATTAGCTAACAAGCCTCCTCCTTAGGAAAATGTCTGTTGGCATGAAAAATTAGTAGCATAACGTTGACGCACTCTAAATGAAGGTTCCAATTTTCCATTTGGTCTCATGAGTCATAATAGTATGTGCATCGCTTCACAACAGTCTTAATTACTTTAGGACTCCAACTGCGAAATATCTTACAGGTTTAGGTACATGGCTTATACGACTTTTTCTGTGTGAAATTGCCCATCATTTTTGCTCTGATGATATTTTTTCCTAGACAGTTATCAGACTTTCATCAATAAACTATGTAGCTAATACCTCTCCAAATCACCCTGAGTTAGTTTGGAACATATTGGTAGTCCAAACTCCAAAAATATTTTTATCTACGACCTGCACAATAAGTGACTATTATGTCACTGATTTTTGCTTATTTGCGTTATGTAATGAGCCCCATTACAGCACTAGTACGGTAATTAATCATAACACGTTCATTATCGCACTAGTGCGGTAAGAGGTCATTATTTTCATTATAACTACACAATAGTTATTTATAGTAGACAAACCACAATATTCACTTATTGTGCAGGTCGTAGAAATAATGTTGTATAGCACACGTACGGTAAGGCTCATACCGTACTAGTAATATAAATAACTATTATCTCCACATTGACTTTACCTCTGATGGCAAATTGATGATTACTGAGAGAGAAATTTGCATTGAACGCTCGCGTTTTGCGTGCTTTAATAAATTACCTAGTGATTTTATATGAAGCCTAATTTCTCACTACGATATACTTATACGCAAAATACCAGACAGAATTGTTACTAATAAATAATAATATATGGAATACATATCTATTTCTGTCCTTTATTCTCTTTCAACATAAATAAAATCATACTAAATAATGTACCTACTTTAAATTTTTCTGATTGCCTTAAAAATAACTAATTTGTTACCTATGCCAAAGCAAGACTGGGTGTTTGGAATAATATTCGCCTCAGAAAATGTTTGCAATAGGGTTTAATTTTAAACAATTTCAACATATTCTAAACACCCTGTATAATAAATAGAATAATAAGTTAAAAATAACTAATCATATATTTTGGCAACTATTGAAACGATCTATGAAAACAATAATATGTAATTATTATTTTTTATTTATTACAAAAAGTATGTACAACAAGAGGTACCACCCTAGACGGTAGGTACTTTATATTGTTAATGTGAATGTACGTTGTATAGATTATTAAAAATAATAAAAAGTATTTTTTTATATATAATGAAAACTATGTTTACAATGAACGCACTTTTAAAGACTGATCGGTAGTAGAAAATTAAGGAAAATTTGGTTACACATTTAAATATTGCGGTGAAGTACCTAATTGAAATATTTATTTGTGTAAGGCTTAGGGATAACAAAGTCAGGGCTCCATTCGTTGTTGGCAATTTTAAATAATATGTATATTTAAGTTATCAGAAATCTGAAAATATTTACAAAGGTTGGTGAAAAATCAGTTTGGTATATTGAAATCGGGCCCTGACTTTGATTGTGGCGGTGCTTAAGAGGTTTAAATATTTCGTTGGGTTCATATAGGCATATTTATTCATAATGGATTGTGACACTTCCTGTATCACTAACTATTGACGTGGTGTTAGAATAAATATAACGTCCCTGTTATTAAACATATGATAAATTTTTTTATACCTAATCTATCTTAAAAGTAAGTATATTCTATTGAATCTGATGAAATATTTTTCGAAATAATAATACAGTGTCCACCATAATAGTTGTAACTTGATGATTTTGTTTGGTCAAATCGAATAATTATCATTGGTAACGAATATTATGGAGTTATGAAAAAAAAAAAAAATGTAAAGGATAAATATGTAATTTATGTTAATGCTCAGATTGAAAATAAAGATGTTTCTAACGTCTTTATTTTTAATTAATTTAATAAGAAATTTAATGATATATGATATTTTGTAGGTTTTGGCAAAAGTTTAGAATAAAATTTTTCCTGACTTTTAAATAATTGATTAAAACGCTTTTATGTATATACATTTGAATCAAAACTAGCTGGAGAGTGAGAGTGAGACAACTTCTTTTATAAGCATATGCAGTTACGTTAATGTTATAAAGAAGAGGTTTTCTGTTTTATTTTTGCTTCTTGTCCAATAAAAGAGAGAAATTTAGTTTAGGAACAAGGACCAGCTGTCTGAAGTAAAACATTTTTGCATTCAAAAGGACATCAAATGTTATATGAAACAGCGTTTTACTTTTACGCTAGACTTTTATTGCCGAAACCAACAAAAAAAAAAAGTAGCTCAATTTCGTAATAGAAATCAGCTCAAAATATAATTTCCTAAATTAATTATTTTTTATTAAAAACTAATATGTACTATACAATACAAAAAAAAATAACATCGTTAAAGAATAGAAGAAAAGCAAAAACAATGAAAGAAATAAGCTATTATTAGAAAAACTCGATTTTAAGAAAGAGATGTTATAAATTACGTAATATTATACATATTATAGATATATTCTAAGTAAATGTTTTTAAAAAAGAGATCTAGTTATAAATATTCATGTTAAGCATAATATAATGTGTCATATAGATGTCATGAACTTCTCATGCTCTCATGAATAAAATGATAAAATTCCACACTGAAATAATATATTGTTGCGTTTTATTTGGGAATTGGGAGAATCTATAAAGGTTGTATCGATCATATATACAGGGTGTCCCACTAAGGTCGACGAGGTACCATATTATGGAAACCAGTTATTTGCATAGTTTGAAAACGAATGCAGATATTGAATTGCGGTTTGCGCCAAAATGTAGATATATTTTTGCTCTTCAAGCACAGCAATAAAAAAATAATATCATGCCATTTCGATTTTTCAAGAAAATTAGAAAAAACTGGATCTGGGTTAAACAGCGCCCTGTAGAAGACGCGGAGGGAACTATCTACCCCGAACGAAGTAGTGTTCTTAATAATAATGAAATTCTCTTTCAAATGAGCCCAAATTGAATAAATTTCGACAAGGGGTATGGAAGATACACCCCTATTAGTGAACATACGAAAAAAGCCTAATAATCAAATTGGCGCAAAAATTATTGAACTTTTGATTTCTGTTGTTAAAACAGTATCTTAATAGAGCGATTTCTTGAGAAAATTTGAATTTTTAGTTATATCATTGAAATTGCGCCCCGTAGCGGTCATCTTAAAAACTTGGAAATAATTTCCATCAATTTCTCTTGGTCGATTTAGTGAAAAAAAAAAATAACATAAATCCTGAAACCGTAAGGTCTATGGTTTCCAATTGAAAATGAGCAAGAATATGGCTGCGGGACCTCTATTTTCACCACTGTAGGTAAAAAGGGTGTATTGAGTTACTTTAGTTTCATATAACTAATTACAGAGATTTGTTTTTTATTTTATTTTTTTCGATAAGGGTCGGTGATACGATAAAACTACAAGAGAACAAAAAGTTTTGAAATAAGGTACAAAAATTATTTTGTTTTTTAGAATCGAGCAGTGGCAGAAAAGAGGGCATGACCCCTGAAGAAATATCACCCTATAGATTCTGGCAAACGTTTGACATGTGCAATCATCCAGCTCCTTTTGCGTAACCTATATTCCAAATTTGAGCCAAATCCCTCAAAAATTGCAGGAGCTATAAAGAAAAAACTAAAAAAATATTAAAATTTCAACACCCTGTAGATCGGTAACGAAGCGTTTGCGGACCTATGTTTATTAGAAATTTTAGTCATAAAATAAACCAAAGAATCACCTCCTTTCGTTTGTACATGATATTTAAAAACACCCCCATATACAGGGTGTCCCACTAAGGTCGGCAAGGTACGATATTATGGAAACCATAGACCTACGGCTTTGGGATTTTTTTTCTTCACTAAATCGGCCAAGAGAAATTGACGGAAATTATTTTCAAGCTTCTAAGATGACCGTTAGGGGGCGAAACTACGACGATATAACTAAAAATTCAAATTTTCCCAAGAAATCGCTATATTAAGATACTGTTTTGACAACAGAAATCAAAAGTTCATTTATTTTTGCGCCAGTCTAGCTATTAGGCTTTCTTCGTATCTTCACTAATAAGCGTGGGAGAAGCCGATAGAAAAATAGTTTCAAAAATTGCTGTACCTTCCATAACCCTCATCCGGGCGCCTACGAGATTACTTTCCGGCTGCCATTTTTTTTATTTTTCTATCGATATCAACGAAACTTGGTAGGGTTGATATTCTAACCAAACGCCATTTTTATGCATCTATGACAACTTTTCCTGACTTCCGGTTTCACCGGAAATGGCCGGATCTTTTGATTTTTAAATGGCAATCCCTGTATATTTTCCGTTTTCCGATTTTAGAGTTCGTTTTACGTCCTAATACACAACTTTGGAATCGAGTTTAGTCCAAATTTTGTTTTTAAATTAAATTTTAATTTTTTAACTAGAGTGCCATGATCATCCCAAAAATGACTTTAAATACCTACTTTACTTAATTTCAGAAAAATACAAATTCAATTTTATCTATGTAAACTTTTTTGTAGTAGTATATTACAATCCGAGACGGGAAATGCTTCATTGCTGGTCGAGAGGTTATATCTAACTATAACTAAATCTCGAGCCAGTAATGAAGTTTCCCGTCGAGGTTCGTATACTATTTTATTTTTACCCATAATTTCTTGGAAAAAAAATTGGTGACAACGAAATGAAGTCGAGAAATGAGGATTGGAAATGAAGACGGGAAATTTTTCCCTGCTCCATTTACTGTCCGAGGACGGGAAATAAGGACGGAAAAAATATTGTAGGTGGTAGACGCTTTTTACTCATTGGGCGTCGACCGGTGAGATACCACCATGCCAGAATTGAGTAGCGCTAAGTGGTATCACCACGTTCCGCTACTGCACTGGCAGTCCGGTTCCAACAATGAGTAACAGATAGCATGATGGCGCCTCCAGGATCAAAATATTCCGGAGGTTAAATACCCGACCACTCGGATCTCCGAGCGTCGGGTGATCCTGGGGGTCCTTCATGCAAAGATATACAGAGAAGATCAAAAACTCAACTCAGAATTGATTTTAGCAATATAAGAGGAATAAGTACAAATATGAATTCAGTTCACCAACATCTTGAAGAATAAAGACCTGACATCCTTGTTCTCACTGAAACTAAAATCAGTTCTGCAACACCTATTGTGAACTATCTTTATCCCGGCTATGACCTACACCACCGATTTCGACATAATTTTGGGATCTGTGTGTACATTAAAAATGACCTTTCATGTCATCGAGAGGAGAAGCTAGAACCAGCGAACCTTGATATCATATGGCTAAAATTCACCTCAAAGTCATCGACCAAGTTTATCTGCTGCCTCTACCGACCGCCAAGTAACACCGATTTCCAAAACTTTTTCGCGACATTATCCGAAAGCTGTGATAGTCTACAGTCAAACTATCCACAGGCGGAAATTGTCTTTTTAGGCGATTTCAACGTCCACAATATACCCTGGCTGAAACACCACAACAAAACAGATAACGAAGGCAGAGAAGCAGAAGCTTTTGCCATAAGTTGTGGTCTAACGCAGCTTGTCGATGAACCTACCCGTATCTCAGAAAGGGGCGAGTTTGCAGCGCTTTTAGACTTGTTCCTAACCACCAATCCTGACTCGTACACAATTCAAGTAGATGCTCCACTTGGTTCGTCCGATCATAAACTTATAATAACAAAGTGCGAAATGCTCATCCCACCAAGCCTACAACCACTCCCTCGTAAAATGTGGCACTATAAATCGGCAAAATGGAATGACCTAAAACAGTATTACCTGGATTTTCCATGGCAAGAGGTTTGCTTTAAAACAGCTGATCCCACTATTTGCTGTAATGAAATAACACAAGTAATCTTATCTGGAATGGACGCATATATCCCACATACAACTAAACGTAGAGCTAATGCAAAACCTTGGTTCAACAGCCAGTGTCAAACGGCTGTACAGAAAAAACACAGAGCATATAACCTTTGGAAACGACAACAAACCGCTCAAAACCACACAGAATTTATAGAAGCCAGAAATAGTTGCAAAATTACTATTGACTTCGCTAAAGAAACATACAATCAAAGAATAAAAAACAGGTTGCTGAATTGTCCAAGTAGTTCTAGGTCTTTTTGGTCTCTTGCAAAAGCTGTTGGATCTTACTTCACCAAGTCATCCATACCACCACTTACAGATAAAAATAATTACTTAGCCACAACATCAGAGGAAAAAGCCAATATGCTTGCCCAAATGTTTTCCTCCAACTCCAATCTAACAGTGCCAAACGGAAAAACTCCACCGTTCATTGAAAGGGTTTCCCATAGTATGCCTGAGGTACCCTTTTGTCACAGAGAAATACGAAAATCCCTAAAAAAGCTGGATACAAACAAAGCAATGGGTCCGGATGGCATTCCCGCAATAGTACTCAAAAATTGCGCCAACGAACTCACCCCAACTTTCGCAAAATTATTCAATTTGTCTTACAGGCAAGGAGTATATCCATCATCATGGAAGTCTGCCGCAGTACAACCCATTCCAAAGAAAGGAAAAAAGACAGATCCATATGATGATATCAAAAGTAATGGAAAGAGTTGTAAACAATCACCTAACCAAGTACTTGGAAAAGTACAAAATTATCAACGATAAGCAATACGGCTTTCGAAAATATAGGTCAACTGGCGATTTACTTACATACATCACTCACTTATGGCAAAAAGCGATTGAGTTGCGGGGTGAAACAAGAACAATTGCCTTAGATATATCTAAAGCATTCGACAAAGTTTGGCATGAAAATCTGCTCAACAAGCTCAAAGCAATGGGATTATCGCCGAAACTTTGCACTTGGTTTGAAAGTTACCTAAAGGACAGATCCATTTATGTTACACTGGATGGCCAGAACTCCAACTCTTACCAAATAAATGCTGGTGTGCCACAGGGAGCAATCCTTTCGCCAACTCTTTTCCTGATTTACATAAATGACCTCATAGATAAAACAGTAAATCCACTTTATTGCTTTGCAGACGATGGCAATGTAGTCTCCTCACTCATACCACCCACAGGTCTTTCCGCACGTGAATTCCATCATCTTAGACTAACTCAAATATCGCAGATAAATAACGACCTGGAGATAATAGAGAACTGGGGTAACAAAAACCTTGTACAGTTCAACGCGCAGAAAACCCAAGCAGCTCTGTTTTCAAAAAAGACCAGCACCGGTGAGCCAAACATCATGCTATCTGGAAGTGCTGTCACATTACAGAGTCAGTTGAACATCTTGGGGGTTACTGCAGAGACCAACATGTCTTGGCACAATCACGTGGCAGATGTTAATTTTGTTTGTACTAAAAATAATTAACTAAAGAAAAATAAACTATTATCCATAAAAGGGCCTCCCAAAAGCTGGGGGTGCTATTTCGTACAAGACATCTGTACACACCAAGCCAATTGCTGACACTCTACAAAGCCCAGATTCGACCAACTATGGAGTACTGCTCACATATATGGAGTGCAGCGCCCAAACATACCTTAATGCTTTTGAATACCGTGCAAAAACGAGCTATCAAGCTGATCAATGACCCCGCACTTACTCGTAACTTGGATGGTCTCGAACATCGCAGATCT